TTCACAATGTGGCAAACAGAGTTAGCAGTCTCTGAAAACATATTACCCAGTAGATCCAGAAGTTCATTTTTCTCTTCTACTTCTAGCCTTTGAGTTACGGCTTCAGACATTGCTTTGGCAGCTCCTTTAGCTAATTTTTCTCCATTAATAACTGTTATCAAAAATCGTTAAATTTCTTTGATCTCTAGCCAAGCATTTGGGATCCCAGCCCTTGTCATCTACCAGCATGCCTAGTTCCCATACCAACTAGATTGATCTTGGTTTCCAGAATACAGGTAGCATTTTTCTACCTTCCTATGTCTTTACTCCTGAGGGTCTATCTGAAACAACCTCTCTATCTAACTCCAACAATGTCCACCATCTTTAAGTCCAGCTCTAATGCCCCATCCTCCCTGAAGCTGCTTACGATCGACTCCACCCAGAATGAATCTTTTGTGTCTCTATGCTCCACAGAAATGTGTTGGCCTCTTCTATACCACTCCCCATAGTCTTCTTTGTATTATTGCTATTTGTGTTTCACTGGTCATTCTTATTAGATTGTAAGCATCTGGAGGGCAAGATCCAGGGTTGCCCACTGCCACATGACAGTGTCAGGGGAGTCTGAGGGTTACAGCCATGAGTTTAAGTTACATTGTCAAGTTTAAAACCTGCCTACATGATGTACTAGCTGCAAGACCTTGGGCAACTTATTTCAACTTTCTAGTCTATAATTTCCTCACCTGTACCTACCACACAGAAATCTTGTGAGAATTAGATGAGATAGTCCATGTAAAGTGCTTAGTAAGTATCTGGCACATTGTAGGTGCTTTGTAGATGTTAAGTATTTGCAATGTCTACAGTGAGGTCTCTTCATTAATTAATTCATAAATATTTATTGAGTTCTGTGTTAGTCTGCTCAGGCTACTATAACAAAATACCATAGACTGGATGGCTTAAACAATTTACTTCTCATTTACTTAAACATATACTTCTCACAGTTCTGGAGGCTGGGAAGTGTAAGATCAGGTGCCAGCCACCTCAGTTCCTCGTGAAGAATCTTTTCTCATCTTGTAGATGGGCACCTTCTCACTGTGTCTTCACATGGCAGAGAGAGAGCGATCTCTCTCTTTTTTCTTCTTATGAAGGCACTAATCTTGCCATGAAAGCCCTCATCAGCTCATCTAATCCTAATTGCCTCCCAAAGGCCACATCTCCAAATACCATCACATTGAGGGTTAGGGCTTCAACATATGAATTTGGGGGTGGGGGACAAAATTCGGTCCACATATACATTTGTAGAGCTAGTCTAGGGATAGAGCAATAAACCAAACACAAAAATCCCTGTCTCATGGAGTCTGTATTCTAGTGGAAAGAGTAAGGCAGTGTGGTAGACAGAATAATGGCTCCCAAAGACCTCCACATCCTCATCTCGGTAACCTGTGGCCAGGTTCCATTACATGGCAAAGGGGAATTAGGTTGCAGATGGAATTATGGTTGCTGATCATCTAGCCTTAACATAGGGAGATAATCCTGGATTATTTGGCTCAATGTAATCACAAGGGCTCTTATAAGTGGAAGAGGGAAGCAGAAGGCCAGAGTGATGCAATATGAAGACTCGATCTACCATTGCTGGTTTTGAAGATGGAGAAATGGGATCACGAGCCAAGGAATGCGGGTGGCCTCTAGAAACTGGTAAAAACAAGGAACCTGATTTTCCCCTGTAGACTTCAAAAAGGAATACAGTCCTGCTGACACCTTGATTTTAGCTCAACGAGACCTGTGCTGGACTTCTAACCTCTAGAACTACAAGATAATAAATTTGTATTGTTTCAAGCCACTAAGTTTGTGGTAATATATTACAGCAGCCATCGAAAACTAAGACAGGCAGTAAATGTAGAAAATGAGTACAGGCAGTATATATATCATATATCAAATGGCAATAAATTCCATGGAGAAGATTGGAACAGGGAATTTGGATAGGGAGTGTTGGGGGGCGGTGATTGTAATTTTAAATAGAGTTGAAAGGGGAGCCCTCTGGTGACTTTTGAGCAAAGAGCTGAAGGAGGTGAGGTAACAAGCCATGAAGTATCTGAGCAAAGAGTGTTTCTGGCAGAAAACACAGCAAGTACAAAGGCCCTGCGGTAGGACCTTACCTGTTGTTTCAGGGAACCAAAGAGGGCAGTGTGGGTGGAGTGGAATTTGTGATGGGGAAGGTAGTAGGAGATGAGGTCAGAGATACAGGGGTGCCCGTTTGTGTTGGTTTTACTCTGAGTAAGACAGGAAGCCCAAGGAGGATTTTGAGTAGCAGGGTGACCAAATGTAACATACATTTTAATGGAATTACACTGGCTGCTGTATTGAGAATAGAACATACGGGGGGCACAGTGGAAGCAGGGGGACCAGTGAGGGGGCTATTGCAGGAATCCAGGCTAAAGGTGTTTGTGGCTTGGACCAGGGCGCTAACTGTGGAGGTGGTGGAGAGAGGTCTGTCTGCTTTTGGATACCTTTTGAAGCTAAAACCAACAAGATTTGCTGATAGATTAGAGGTGGAATAGAAAAGAAGAAAAGTCAAAGATGATTCCATGGTTTGGGGCTTTAAGCAATCAAATGATTGGAGTGGCCATTCACTGAGCTGGGGGAAGGCAGCAGTGGGAGCACATCTGAGGAGGTGGATCGGTCCAGTTTGGGTGAACTTTTGGTGCCTGAATCCTCCCCTTCTCCCATTCTCTCCCTTCAGATTGCTTTTCCGTAGAAGCAAAGAAGCATTACATAAGGAATAATAGCCAGTAGAAAACAGAATCTTGTTCAGTTCATGATGGAGCCAGTTGGCTATACAACACCCACGCCAGGTTCTGATAAAAGCTGGATTGGAGAATGAGATGTAGCCCAGGATGCCATAGAGCTAAGATTTGTGTCCTCCCAAAATTCAGATGTGGAATCTTAACCGTCAAGGTGGTGGTATTGGGAAGTGGGGCCTCTGGGAGGTGATTATGTCATGAGGGTAGAGCCCTTATGAATGGGATTAGTCCCCTTTAAAAGAGGCCTGAGAAAACTTCCTTGCCCCCTTCTGCCATGTGAGGACACAGGAAAAGACGTCTGTGAGGAAACCGGCCCTCGCCACACGCTAATCTGCCGGTGCCTTGATCTTGGACTTTTCCATCTCCAGAACTGTGAGGAATAAATTTCTGTTGTGTATAAGGCCACCCCCTTTGTGGTATTTTGTTATAGTAGCCTGAACAGACCAAGACACAGGAGGACCAAAGAGGGCTTGAATTTAAAATGCTTGAATTTAAAGAGCAGATTCTGAAGGCTGAATCATTCTTTTCGAGTCACCAGGTCACAGGCAGAGAAGCTGGATCCGAGGGTGGGTGAGCGCTGGGCACCATCATCACACCGACAGCACTCACTGGCGAAAGTTACCCAGAAAGTACCAAAGGCCCCCTCCCACTCACCAGATCTACCATTCTTCCCCAGGGAAGGGACCACTAACGGGGTGGAAGTGGGATGAAAGTTCTCTTTTCCCTGCAGGCAAGGCTGAAACGATTCCATTAATGTTTATTGATTGGAATCGAAAGCCTTCTCCATCCTGCGCATGCCCTGCTCAGCTGCACCCTGGAGCACGAGCCCTATCTCCAAGCGCAGAGGGTCGCTCTCAGTGCTCTGCTTTACTTTCTGAGCCAAGAAACCTTCTTTTTCCTCTCTTCTTGACAGGACAGAAAAGATCGTGTAATGAGAATTCTTAAGCTGCCAATAGCCTCTTCCCAATTAGGGGCTAGTGAGTGAGAGAGAGGGACTATTAAATGTAAACCAGAGTAATCAAAAGACACCTCCCTCCTAATTGTTCTGGACGAGGAAAAGCTCTCTGACTGCCCTGAGGCCAAAAGGACAGAAGGAGCTTTAAAAGCAGGGACGGGGTTTGAAGCGGTTTGGAAACGAGAACGCATTACTCGATGATGAACGGAAACACCGCTTAGTGGCTGGAGTTTTTATTTGGCATTTTTTTTCCCTCATGTTTGAGTTTTATATTCACCGTCTTCAATATCTTTGCATTGCCCAAGTGACACAGAATTAAATGGAATCATTTAATCCAGCGTTGATATTATTAGACAATGACTATTTAAATGTTTCTTGCAATATCAGAAATGACGATATTGCAAAAGATGCGTGTGTTTTTAGAGGTTCTCATTTAGTAGTCCAAGAAACCACTTTGGGGGAAGGGATGTTTTCTCCACATATCCTAATTTCTACTTAATATATTCCCATATCTCTTTAAAGTGTGTAGTAAGAATTGTAAAGTGCAATTGTTATTTGCACTCCTCAACAGTATGCATTAAGATGCTACCATACCGGGAATAGAGAGATGTGGAAGACTCATTCTTTTCCTCAGGAAGCTTATATTTAATGACTCCTACTATGAACTAAGACTACTTCCTATGTTTAGTTCACACCTCATAAGCACCCTGCAAAGTAGATATTGGTCTCCCCAGTTTACAGAGGAGAATACTGAGGCTTAAAGGTCATAGGCCAAGATCACACAAGCAGAAGACGGCAGGCTGCGGGCTGGGCTTCAAAGTCCGTGCTCATTCGGTTACTCCTAGCTTAGTCTAGTAAATCTGCCGGAATCTCAGTATTTCCAATGATTAACGCTCCTCTCCGTCAGGCCGTCCGTGGCATTTTTCAACAGGTCAGAAAATCTTGGAGAAGGTAAGCGATTTCCCCCTCTCAGGTGCCTTAGATGTGGCTGTCGTGGACCCAGAACGCATCCTTTCTGATCGGGTATCTCCTCGCCGCCCTGGCCGGAGGGTCAGTGTCTTCTCCGCCAGGCTGGGAGCCCCGGCAGACTGCCCATTCCTCGCTTTTTTCCGGAGGGGAGACGACCAAAGGCGACCTGCCTTCTCTCCATCATGGAGCTGCCATTCCGCGGGCGGCCGCCAGGGGGTCCCCGCTCGGCGCCCCGCTCGGTAGCCGCGCGCTGGGCGCCGGTGGGGGCTACTTTGGAGCGGCGGCGGCTGAAGCCGGAGCCCCGCGATCGCTCGCCCGCCCGCCGGCCCGCTCGCTGAGACCGCGCGCGCTGGCCCCGGCGCCCGTGGCGCGGATCCGCCGGCGTCGCCCCTCCGGCCCCGAGCTCACCTTCCTCCTCTCGCTCCGGCCGCAGCTGACCCGGCGCCGGGAGCGGCCAGGGCCCCGCGTTGAAGTTAAAACCCCACGGTGAGTGAGACCCCGCTCCGAGCCAGGGGAGGTGGCGCAGCCCGGCAGCTGCTCGCGCCCGGCGCGCCAGGGCGGGCAGAGGTGCGGGGCGCACCTGGGGGCGGGGGCAGCCGGGGGGCGGGAGATGGCTGACCCCGCTTCCCCGCCCCCCAGGCGCGGGCTTCCGGGGCTGGAATCCGCTCAGACCCCTGCCCGCGGCTGGGCTTCTGGCCGCCTCCGCGCGCGCCCTTCCCGGGCAGAGACGGAGTCCAGTCTCCACCCTGGCTCCGGGGCCTTGATTTTACAAGACATATCAATAAAATCCATCTTCCTTCGGGGTGCAGGTCTGTCCCCGAACCCATCCCGAATCGCAGATGATCGTAGGGTGCGTGTTGGGCTGGGGTGGGGAGGGGAGGTGGCGGGCAGACAAACTTTTACAGAAGTGCGCCAGGGCCGGGAGCAAGGTTTAGGGCGTCTCGATCTTGAAGGAGGAGGCTCGGCTGGGGCTGCGAAGGGAACTCCGCTCCGTCGGCCGGGTCGCCCCCGGGACTTTTGGTGCTTCGTGGAGGGAGGGATGTAGAGGACGTACAAATCTTGCTGAACCCTTGGGCCAGCAACTGTCAAACATCTGGAATCCCAGCCCCTCCCTCCCCCTGCACCGAGGAAGAAGGGGAAAACCCTTCAACTTTCCTTGATCGCTCCCCCCTGCCTTTGGACCTCTCTAGGAAGGGCAAAAGGCCGACCCCCGGCGCCTGGCAAGTAAGTACCAGAGACCCCCAAGCTCCTCAGGATCCCCCGTCGCCCACCTTCCTGACCCCCCTCCCAGCCGTCCTCCCCGCAGGGACCACGCGACGGAGCCAATGGAGATCGTGGCGAATGGCCTTTTGTTTCTCCGCGTCTCCCCCTTTTGTTCGCCTTTCCAACATCTGGCGGGGCCTGGGGAGAGAAGGGAGCCCCTCTCCGCCTCCGCCCCCGCCCCCCACGCCTGCCACCCGGCCCGCTCCCGCCGGGATCCCGGCTGGGGAAGGAGCGGAGCCCGACCCCGGCGAGGCCGCCCCGCCCGGCCTTGCGGTTAGAGGGCGGAGGGAAAGTTGTTCCTTCCCCGCCCCCTCGGCTGCCCGGGGCCCAGGGCGCACTGCTCAGATCTTATCCCAGACGCGCCGCAAAGGGTGCCACTTTCCAGAGTGGAAGCCAGGGTGTCCTGTGGTGGGTTCAGGGGATTTCATTCTCCTGCTAAAGGCATGTGGCTGGGCGCTGCGAGGGCAGTGGGACCGGATCGCGGCGCTTCTGAGAGGCAGAAAGCCGAGGATGTGAGTTTCCAAGGGCTGAAGGGCAGGCGAGTCGCCTTAACGAGAATGGAGCCGGAAATAACCTAGGAAGCCTCAAAACTTTGCCGGGAACTAGTGGTGGGTGGCTCCCTCCAGAATGAACGTGGACTTCTGACTTCGCGCAGGGCTCCAAGTTTAAATCCCAGGTCCCCTCTCAGCATTTTGAAAAGGCAGACCCGAAGGACACAGCGCGGGCACCGCTTCCAAGTCCCTGCCACCCAGTGGCTTGGGACTGGCCCCGAGTTGTCCTATGGGTGCGCCTGTTAGATTATAGGTGGCCCTATTTCCCTCACAAGTCAGATGCTTACATATCGTGCTTATTCTTAGTGAGTGCGGATTATTTATTAAAGAACTAGGGCAAGAGCAAAGTAGCCACTCTGAGAAGGCAAGGTCCTCAGATGGTGCCCGGAGAATCGCTTTACCCGTGACAGGAGGTCGAATCTGTGCACCTCTTGGAACCTACCCCTGCTCATAGCCTTCCTATACCGGTGTTGCCAGCTTTTTCTTTGGGAAAAATCAGTCCCTCTTCCAAGGAGACTCAGTTAGTACACTCTTTTTACCCTCCACCTTTCCATCGCTCCCCCAAGCCAGGGGAGAGAGGAAACTTCCGTCTGAACACTTATGACCTATGTACCTACTCAAGCATTTTAAGTGGAAACTGTGCACTTGGCTGTGCACTGTTCTAGGAGTTTTCCCTTTACCCGACTTAATAGAACTTTTGAGCTTCCACTTAATAAAGAACAGCAAAGGAGATTGCTAAGTCAGGAATGTGGACACAGAGCACTTTTTCCAGCAGTTTCTGGATATGACCAGTGGGACCAACAAAAAAGAAAAAGCAAAATCTTTGAAGCACTGGAAGGCACTTTACAAACATTTCATTAGGAAAATGATCCCCAAGGAAGGAGTCCTTTGAAATTTAGCAACAGCAGCAGCAGGAGAGAACCAACAAGAAGGACCTGGGTTGCTCTAGAAGCACCCACAGGCACCATTAACAAAGTGAAAGGGCAGTGCTTGTCCCAGTCCACCCCAGTAAGGAAAACAGGGTACTTGTAGTGGAAGACAAACTTGTACAGTTTCTTTATTTTTAGAATTAAAAAAAAAATCCCTTTCCCCCAAAAAATCATTGTATAAAAAAATAGAAAATAGAGAGAGGTGAAAATGAAAACAAAGGGAAGGCGGATATTATAAACAAGACTCCAGTGAACAATCTCATCCAGTTATTTCCTTGGAAGAAATTTCTGGAGATAGGATAGTGAGGTCAAAGAAGTTGATGCACTTTTTAGGATATTTCAGATTGTCTCATTGTCCTCTAGGGAGCTTGTGCCAGTTATCCTCTCCCCAACAGCACACAAGAGGATTTATTTTCCTATACCCAACACCCCACTTGCTCTCTATATTATCATTCTTTTTTATCTCTGCCATAGTGATGGGAGGGGAGTATCTTGTCTTATTTTGCATTTCTTTAACATTTTTCATATGGTGTCTTAGTATTTCCTCCTTTGGGATGATGCCAGTTTGTGTCTTTACCTATTTTTCAGTGGGACTGTTCTCCTTTTTCTAACCAGGTGCTCATAATAAAAGCATACTGTTTTGACTTCTGCCCCTGCCAGTACAGTAGGTCTTATTGACTTGATGAGCCAATTCTCTTCCCTCTTGCATAGCAAATGTTCTGCAAGACCACAACCGTTATTTACCAAAGTAACTGACATGATCCCAGCAGAGTGATTAGGGAGACCACGCAAAGGCATTATTAGAGAAATGCATGGCAGATATCAAGGGTATACTTTCTGCTTAGTAGCTTGTGTGCCCCAACTCCTTTACAGCTTGTAATGCTTTTTTTTTTTTTATTTAGACCAACTCTGTTGATGAGTTGTTTTGACTAAATGGATTATACTAACTCATTTTATTGTCTGATCCTTCCACTGATAACCAGTATATCATGATCCACAACTTGTTCTTTTAAACTTTTCTTATACCTTTTGGACTGAATTTGGCTTCAGTTTCATTGTAAGACTTTCTCTGTTTGTCTGTGGCATTGGAGCCTGCACTTGAATGAATCTTGAATCCAAATACTTTAGCCACATGCAGTTATAACAATAGCAGGAGGGGTCTCCCAAGGGCTGAACAAGGTACACTTCACCCTCTTTTCTGCGTTTGTGTAGCCACAATCTCTATGTTGATTCTTGCGTGAAGGTAGATGATTCTGAAATGGGGTACAGGAGAAAGCGGAAGAGAAAATTCATTTCAGCTAGATGATGAATTAATACAGATGAAGGACAACACAAGAAAATTGAAGTAAATCATCTAGGTAGAAAATAACTGTACAAAAGAAAAAATATATTAAAGTGTCATGTATTATTAGGATGACTAATTTACTTCGACAGAAAGTGGTCTTCTAATTGGGAAAATCCAATGTGAAATTCTTCCATAGTATGACTGTAGGCACTTTTTTTCAGGCACACGAAAAACCATGAAAGGCAGATACTACACTCTTCTGCAGCATTTTCCATGCCTTTAGATGTAGAAATCAAATAATATGCATTAGAAATGAACAGTGCTCTCTGCATTGGAATCATAGGCTCTCAAAGGTTGAACTAGAGCTTAATGATCATCTAACTCAACCATCCAATATTGCTGTGGGTCTTCACTGTCTTAAAATGATAAAATACCATCCTACAAACTTTGTATCATTTCAAACAAACCAAGCTGAGAAGCAAATAGGCCAGAAATTTCAACTTTTTTTTTTTTTTTTGGAGGGCAGGGGGAGAAAGGGAGAGTTTTAACCCTATGGGAGCTTGTATGAGCTCTTTTAACTGCTGAACTTTCATAGAAAAACAACCTTGGCCTCAAGAGGGTTAAGTCATTGAAGTGTTACATTTTGCAGCATTTTCTGATCTATATACTCTATCCATTGGCTTGGCAAAGTTCAAAGGTGATAAAGCAAAGCAAGTAGAAAACAGCAAAAGGAAAGAGGAACCAAGAGTATAAGATGGAGAGGGAATCTTATTTCTTTAAAACTGCCTTCAGGACTTTCTAACAAGACTCTTAGTCACCCAGGGGATGGGTGGCCTCCCCTCTCTTAGGGAGATGCACATGGCTGATGTTTCAAGGCCAAACTTTAGAGACAGTAAACATTGCATGAACCAGCACCAGTAAAACCAAGGGCAGGCTTAAAGGATAGCACAGTAATTCTTGAAAATGAAGGAGAAGGAGATTTAGGCGAGAAATGGAATTTTAGTTCTGAAAATATACCTTATTTCCTCCTGAGTAGTACTATGGATTTCAGAAAGAGGTAGAAACATCTTCTGATTTCTACTCGGACAATCTCCCAGGCACAGTGACTGTATTTCTTCTCTTTCAGGAAATTGTATATCCTGTTGAAATATCTCCTCAGTTCTAGGTGGCTCAGCCGGGGGACCGTAGTTCCTGAGTGTTTCGTCCCATCCTCTTCTGTCTCTTTCATGTCTTCATCTTCCTTCTCCTCTTCCTCCAAGCATTGTTCCAGGTACTGCAATTGCTTGTCAAGTCCAATTTGGATTTGTTTTAGGTGTTTCTCTTCCCAAGTGGATTTGAAGGTGTATTGACTGAAGATGTTGAAGGCCTGTATGGATATTTCATAGAAGGCCTTCTTGATGTCCCTTTTCACAGGCTGGATGTGTGATAGGATCTCATGGGGCAACTCAAAAGCTTTGTTTTCTCTTAAACACTCTATAGGAAATGAATTGCTCATACCGCTTAGAAGTCTCATATTTTGCCAGGTGACTCTACTCAGGTGAATATTCAGCACGTTACAGTCCAGAGAGAGGATGCCAGTGATGAACAGACCCACAAGGTACGCAGGCTGCAAACACTTTCGAGTCACATCAGGCTTGGTGCTCATTTTTTCTTCCGAGCTAAAAAATCCACAAGACTCAGGGTTGGCAGTGATGTTTTAGGTCTTCACTGTTCTATCGTGTGCCTTTTATACACCTGAATTTCTTCAGCGGGGAGGAGTTTTCTCATTCGTCATTTTATGGTTCTCAAGGTTTCGGCCCCTTTCCTTTGTCTCTGAGGCTTTTTTTTTTTTGACTTGGGGTGACTACGCTGACTTTGGAAGTGCTATCTTTTTTTTTTTTTTTTTTTTGCTATCTTTTTTTTTTTTTTTTTTTGAGAAATGTGAGCAAAGCATTACCGTTGCATTACCTTAGATGCCCGGATGATCCATCCCAGTACTATAGAATCGTCATAATGAGACCGATGCAGAGTATTTCAGGAGGAACTGAAAACTCTGACTCTATACACTCACTCACTGGTTCACTCAACTCTATGACATAAGAGAGAGCTATCCTCCAAGACTGCTTTGTAACTGGTTCTCTAGCCAAACATCTCCTCTCATTGAATTAATCATAGACATTGACCAAATGACTATGATTATTTGATTATAAGGCCACCAGAATATAATACAGCTTAGGTTTTTCCAATTTTGTTAAATTAAGCTTCTATATTTGGACATTTTCTCTTTTTATTTGATTTTTCTGCATCTCAAAAAAGATGGAACACAGAGTTGGTCAATTGAGCATGGCACTTATCAAATAGAAGACTGAGCCAGCTTGGTTTTCTGTGGCCATTAGAAATGTTGAAACTTTCCATCCTTTCCTTTAGTTAAAACCGACAAGTGCTTCCCATCCCCCCCTAGCATTTCCGATGCCTCCGATATCTTTCTTAGAAGTCCTCCGGGAGGTTGGATATTGGGGAATATTTTTCTGCTTCATTACCTTCCTTCTTGTAGTATCATGCATTTTCTTTACTTTTAGATATAGTTTAGACAGAATTTAAAAACTTTTGCCTGGCTATCTTTCCTTTTTGAATGAATGTTCTCGACGCTGTAAAGGTTTTTGTTTGTTCCTGTTTGTCTTTCACTGAGAAGGTAGGTATATGAGTAGGTGATCACCCATTTTAGCCAAGTTAATTCACACCTGGACCAACATTACTGTGGTAGTGATGGCCATCCACCATTTATGGTTTTCACTTTGTTTGACCAAATAACCTTCTGGAAATGGTCGAGGCAAATGGATTCCTTTCTCCAGGAAAGTGAAATGTGATGTCATTTAACAAGGTTAGCTTATTTTATCATCTTACAAAAATAAATTAATTTTCAATAAAGTCATTTTGGAATGGTAAGCAACCACAGTTCCACAGATATGGCAGAACTTTGATTGGAAATTTGACATTAAAAGTTCTCCAAATCAGTTGGCTGTACCAAAGGCTAATTGTGGACAAATGAAATTTCTTCAAGTCCTGGTTTTTTGGACTGGTTGCCTATGAAAAGAAAACATATTACTCTATATGCTCTCTCTATATAAATTCTGATTTCACAGAGAGATTTTGTGGGGTGACTAACTTGGAAAAATAATTAGGAAAATGGACCCTTTTATGTAGGATTATAAGTTGACACAACCTTCCTAGAGAGCAAAATGGCAATATGTATTAAAAGCCTTAAATATGTACATAATCTTTGCCTCAGAAATTCTCCCTCTAGGAATTTTTCCTCAAGAAATAATGAGAGATGTCTTTAAAGACTTAGCTGTCAGGAAGTTTATCACAGCAAAAAACTGAAAACAATTTAAATGTTCAGCAATAGATACTTGGTTAAGTAAGCCATCAGTAGAAAACTCTGTGCAAACATTAAAAATTATGTTGTCAGAATATATTTGGTCACTTGGATAGATACACTTTGTAGCTTAAAAACAAGCTTACATGGTAGTATATAGAGTCTGATACCATATTGTTAAATATAGACATATGCATATATGGACAGAAAAAATCTAGAAGCATATGTCTGACCGCAAATATAAGGGGTGAATTTTATTTTTGTATTTTTATTTACCTAGATTTTTAAAGTTTTTCCTAGTCAGCAAGTATTCCTTATTTAATAAGGCAAACTATTTTTAAAACAAGATACATTAAAAAAGAAAAATTATTATACATCTACAATGGGATCAATACTACTTTATTTACTTAAACATTTCTGTTCTATGGTACTTCAAAAGGAAATGTGAATTTTCCCTAAGACTCAGTTCCAGTTGAGTTGCTATGAATAATATAGAGTATATGTGAGTTTGATGCACTATTCTTGCAACTTTTTGTTAAAAAATATATATGTTTATATATATAGATATATTTATGATTACACAGACGCACACACAAAGTCTACAAAGTGCAAAGCACATCTGAGGGGCATACCTTCTTACATACCTCACATAACTTCCTCCATTGTCCCAGTTGGAACTCCTTGTTCCTCTTTGGGCTTTTACAATGCTTTGTTCTCCTTACTTATTGGTTTTGAAAATAGATAATTGTATAAGTGTTGATCACCCCTCCTCCACCCACCCAGGGTGCTTAGCATACTTTGCACTATTTGAGACAGTTCAACCTTACTAACCAAGCTAAGAGATTGTTCAGTTGAATTACTAACCTAAGAGGTTCTGCTCATAGGTGATGGTACTGGCTACAAATTTGACTGCTGTCAGCCATCTTGAAGTTCCCAGTATTTTCTGCCATATACGGTTTTGTCATTTTATCCCCCTCACCTCAAACTTCCTCCCTTTGTAGTCATTCCATATCATAACTTCATTTATTCAAAACTGTATTTTTAGCATTTACCACATGCCAGTCACTGGACTAGGTCTTGAAGAAGGAGGAATAAAGTCTAGTCCGTGATCTCAAGGAGTCCACGATTGAAGAAGCTGGCACATTCTGAGTGTTTTAGGTAGTAGGAGTAATTCATAGGTCTTCCCTATAGCGTGGACCTCATTCTCCATGTGCTATAAATGTTAACTGATTTTGATGTTGACAATATTCATGACAAAGAAGGAAAGATGATTGACACCCATGTCTTCCTCTTTTCCGCCATTATGGTTGCCTGATTTCACAAATAAAAATACAGAACACCCATGCAATATTTGGGATGTACCTATACTAAAAAATCATCCATTGTTTATCTGAAATTCAAATGTAACTGTGTCCCATATTTTATCTGACAACCCTATCCACCATGCAAACTCCCATCGACTTCTTAGAGCAGAACTCAGACATGAAGCCCTCTGCAGGAAGCTTTTCCTCTGTCAGCTGTTCACCGCATGCAGAGGTGCATCTGATTGCATTTCTTTGTGCTGGCTTTACTTGTGTACATACACATATCCCTAATAACCATGCACGCTCCAAAGAGGACACCCACCATACTAAAACAAAATAGTACACACACACGTGCGTGTACACTCACACATGGTTGCTCTGATCAGAAACATTACTGGATGGTCAATCATTGGTCATGCCTCTGTTCTGTAAAAGCCACGCCATCTGAATATATCTCAAAATATAATCAGAAAATCAAAAAGAATGACAGTGTCATTCTTAAGGAACATGTTTATCCCAAAATTTGTCTGCCACAACTGCCTCATCTGCCATTAGCAAGCTGTGAGTTTGACATGGCTAACGTTGTTTCCATGATATCTGTTCTTACTTCTCTAGCATGTCTTGAGTTCATTATCTGTGGCAAGGCTTTCCTCAGAGGGAAAGCTGATTAGCAGGGGCTGTTGTTGATGGACTGTGTGAAGTCCATGTGGATGACAAGCTTAAGAGTAATGGGCAAGACACAATTTGTTTGATAAAATCGAGATGAGACATTTCAGTCTAGACGAGATAGCTGTGATTCAGCTCAGGGGCATTTGGCATCTTCTGGTAAGATTTATTGCTCTCCGTGAAAAGACAAGTTTCAAACCAGGATGAGAGTAACATGTTGATCATCCATGTTACTCAGTACATGAAAGTAAGTCATTCATTAGTGGGGGTCAGAAGATGATTGAGCCCAGTAGAGAGCTCAGAGATGGGAAGCCTTATATTCATGACTGACGGTGCTTCCCCAGACATGCAGACAATGGTTACAACACAGTTGTGTGCAGCTGTTTTAACCCCGACCAACTCTGAAGCTCCAACTTGATGCTTCACTCATTCTCTCTGCCTTCCGTGTTGAGGTCAGCCTCTCCTATGGTCCTTGAGTCTCCTTCTTGGCTGTTCTTCTTTTAGTGATGTACCTGATGTAGAAATTTAGAATGACTACACAAGTCATACATGGATATGTCCATATTGTAAAAATTCAAACACTTCTGCTAAAGTGAGAGCTTTGCTTGCCAGCTCAGCTTCATGTCATGCCACTCTTCTCTCCTGCAGAGATGACAGTTATGAGTTTGGTATGTGTTCTTATTTGATATCTGTCTCCCAAGGGCAACAACTGGCTTGTTTGCTGTTCTCTCTTGAATGCCCAGCAGGACCCACAGAGGTTGAGAGAGACTTGGATGCTTATCACTGCTGTGATAAGCGGCATGAGAGTGGGGGGACTTGTATATATTTTTTAAAAATTGCCAAAACAGGGTTATAAAAATTGTGATATGCTTTGAGGTTTAATCTTGTAAGTGTATCTCTGTGACTGTATATATGATGTCATTTGGATATGATACAAAAAATCTACATTATAAACCCTTTGGGAATATGAGGCCCAAGATAAATGGCTAACCAGACCTTTAGATGAGACGGACCTAGGTGCCTTTCACAGCGCTTGGCACACAGTATGTGCTCAGTAATAATTTGTTGGGCGACTGAAGGAAGATAATGAAGCCATGTCTCAATGACAGGGAAGTTATTTCGTGGTTTAGTTCTTTTGGTGCAGGGATAATGGAGGACAAAATCAGGCATTGGGGAAACTGATGAGTTCACAGAATGGTAGATGGCAGCTCAAGCATCCATTCCATGCTCTCTCTTGCTTCCACTGTTTTCTCTTTGGGATTCTCTGAGTCTGGTTAGGTCATGAGCACTGTCATTCCTCTCATCTGGTGGTATTACATAGTTCTGTATTGTTTGATTGACTCATATACCTTCCACTCCAGACCTGAAATGTGTCTTCTTCAGTTTTGGATCCATAGCACCTCTTACATAGAAGGCATGAAATACTTGTGAATAAAAGACTGCCAGGTGATTTTTTTATGGTTCTCAAGTTTGGGTGTTAACCTGTGCAGGCAAAACTGCTGGGAGTTTCCAACACCATCCCTTCCTCCCGCTCCC